TTCGTTCAATAGGGAATTAGACAGTGTCAGTGATTCATACAGAGACATTCGATTTACGAGGGTCAAACTGAAAGTTCTTAGAAAATAAAATACTGAGTAAACTTGCAAGTTGTTATTTTTATTATATCTTTTCAAAATAGCGTCCATTCACAATAATACGCTGCAACCTATAGAACCATTGAGAAAAGCACTTTGGCCCCTCGGCTTCAGGGGTTTCTTTGACGGCCTTTTGAAGCGCAACCACTGCTTGCATAAAACGTTTTCCACGAAGTTTTTCTTTCATTATATATACGGCGGGTGACCCAGTAATTTTATATCTGAGGTCACAAATAGTCGATTGTTTGCCAGGCGGCAAAAAATAGCATCTTTTTTTCCAACACTTTGACCTCTCTTCACTTTACGTTATTTTACACCGTTTGGTTTACGGATCATAACAATAAATCCAGGTTTCGTCGAACATAGCATTTGTTTCGAGTCACCTCCGTTAAATTTTTTAATCATATTTCGGGACCAATTAACACGGCCACGGCGCGGCGTATAATTTTTGGGACTCGGTCAAACAAAATATGAAGTATCCCGCGGGCACAAAGCCTCTTGGCGGTCTCTCTCTTTGGTCAGTTTCTATCGTACGCCGCACAACAGTGACATATTATCAGTAGCCGCTGTAGAAGGTCGCCCTTTATGCGAATCATCGGCGAGATTAGTGCGACCACATTTAAATTCTGTATAAAGGTGGGGCTTCATCATTAACCGCTTGAATACCCGTATATGAGAAACAATAGAAAATACATTGTGTCTCGCGTGGATCCAAGTTTAGACAAACGACGGGTTAAAGGTCAATCGAACCCTCCCCAGGGTCTCCCCAATCCCTGAATCCCCCACAATCCTCAAATTCCCAATTATTACAGACTTCAAGGAAAACTGACCAATAGGTCACACTTCCGAGGTGGTCCCATTGTCACCAGGTCAAGATCTGATGATAGGATCCTAGGGAAACCGAGAAGAACTTTTTAAAGTTATAGGGATAACCAATGCGTTTGTTAATATTTCCAATAGGTATAACCAGTACAATATGATATATCATATCTGGAGTCGATCTAATGATGGAGCCGAAAGACGATTGAGGGCACTCTTCAACGGTTTATAGTAACTACCTTATCTTTGGGCCTGATTAATTTGGTGTTGATGAGAACTTTACACCGATCGAGTGAGACTGTCATTAAGGGTCTGATGATGAAGTGTATTTGTATAGGGAACTCTTCAACGGCTTACAGTAAGTACCTTGTGTTTCGACTTGTATAATTTGCATTGATTAGACTTTGCACCTATGTGGATTATAAGTGGCAAAACGGGTCTATGCTGACCGCTGTTCAAAATCTATAACGTTTTGGCCAGTGGTTTCGAACGTTATGTATGACGTTCGAGACCACTGGGTCAGACCACCGTCCTATGGGACAAGATCTAGAATTGCTAGCTAAAATCGGTATATAACATAACATCACGCCTTTTATCCCCGAAGGGGTAGGCAGAGGTGTACATTATACCACTGTACAATGTAACACCAACTTTTCACTATTTATGTCATGAGTCCCATGTAATAGGGGGTGACCCTATTGCCATATACCGGACACAATTGCAGACTCCGTGCTACAACTAAGATTGTTTTTAAACCCAGTAATACTTCGATTTTTATTCGATTTGGTATATTTCTACCCAAAATAGGTATTTGAAAAAAAAAACAATATTCAATCTAATTCGTTTATTTATTAAAAAACCTACAGGCTCATTTATAACAATCACGCTTAAGTATAATTACTTATTATGGTACCACTATTCTTTGGCCATTGCCCAGGTCATCTTGGAACTAATTTCAAAATAATTAACAATTAGCTGTATCGTTTTGAGTGTGATATGCTAGTCATTGATTCAGTAGACAGCCTATTTCACTGTTATGTTTTCAAAAGTTTAATAAGTATGTGAAAATATGCGATCAACGTTAGCGGATGAATGGCGAAGTGATAAAATATTAGATAACAATGGAAAAAAACTTTTTGCATTCTAAAATAGTTCTACATCATTAGGAAATGTTTTGATTTGTTCACAATTTCTTAAAACGTGCCATTCTGTATCAATTTCCTGGAAATCATTGCTGTGAACTATATTGGGAAAAAGCCTACTCACAGGAACTACCCAAGCAGTTATACACATCAAATATTCTTTAGAGTGACGTGATGCCAATGATTAAAGAAATAAGAGGATATTAACTGTGTAGGTACGTACTTGTGTGCCAAAATGGAAACAAACATGACTTAGACTCCGCCCTCTGCCCATTAAATAGTAGGTAGGTATAGTGACAAAACTCACGTTTGTGAGCTACATGAACCACAATGGATTTTTGGTACCTTTTCTGAAGTACGTGGTTTTATATAGAAAACAGATATTGAACCGAATATAGTTAGTAAGTATACTTTCAAGTTAAAAAAAAAAAACATTTTCTAAGATAATCTAAATATAGTTTGATGAATATGTTACTTAATATAAGCACTCGAATCAGTTACCAACGTTATCTATAAAGGGCATTGACTAAAATTGGTGCCTTTCTTTTTTCTGGCGGCAGTCGATGATTTATGAAAAATATTATCTAGAATGACATTACAAACGAAATTGTCTATGGGCTCATATATGGAAATCTCAGTCTGGACTGAGTTATGAGCGTTAAAAGGAGCCTGGAGTCAACCATTTTACTTTGGTTCTTTTATTCAAATTATTCATATTTTTGTCACAATGCCTAATTTTAAATTGCGCGCCACTGTACGCCGGGTGCCGGAACACCATATCACACCACAATATATCCATATTGCCAGGCACTAATTTTTATAAGCTATTTTATCTTAGTCGGTAACTTGTGGGATGCTTCTAGGAGTTGTGTCATGAAGCTTCATGAGCGTCAGCTGTGGTACTAGTGGTGGGTTGAGTAGTGATAGCCGTCCAAACATCTAATAAAGTACTATTTTTTTTGCCACTGACTTCTGGTGACCACTGACTCGTCTACTTTATAGTTAGCATAATCTTTTGAAGAAAGGAAACCGTCGACTTTGTAAAGTGATGGTCTGTCTATACGTCAGGTGAACCCATAATTTTTTCATATAATGTGATGAGTCGAAATATACTCCATCACTTTGTGACTGAATAACGATATCTTTGTACAAAATATTATGCTAGCTGTAGATTAAAGTATAAACTGTAGTTAGATTAGTTAATAATCGGAAGTAAATCGGAAGAAGTAGACAGTAAAAATATTTTATCGTGTTTTGAAGACTGCCGCTACTCAATTCGCTACCGACGCCGCAGCTGACAAACAGCATTTCATGATAGGGCTCAGTAAAGTATTTTGCGGGTTTTCTACTGAGAGGCAATTGATCATGAAAGCTTGTCATAGGCCATATACCATATACATATAAAATGAACAAGCTAGCCAATCAAGTGAAATGTTTAAAAAAACATTCTTTAAAAAATATCAGTATAGCAACCCAAAACAAGACGTGAAGACGTTACAAACAAACAAATTATAATAAAGTATCAAATTAGGTTACTCCAGGTATGACATACTAATTTTTGGGTTGCTATACTGATATTTTTTAAATTTGCCGGGCTTTTTCAGTCTCTACTTTCGTTTGCCAGACTCTATATGAATAACGGACCATGTGATGAAACAGATGTCGTTCGTATCAATGTGTGAGTATTCTGCGTGTAAATATAAAATCTAAGCCACGTGCCATAGTTGTTGTTTCAATAAAATACGTCCGCCTTTTTTTAATGTCCTAGACTTCAAATGACAAAAAATAATTATTTAAATAAAACATTTTTGACGTTTGCAAGCGAATTCCATCTAAGTACCTGTTATCTGACACCTGTCATTTTATATTTGACAACAAAACACGTCATTTCTGTGGATTTGTTCAGTAGTTAGGGTTATCAATTAATTATGATTTCCACTAAAACAGGCAGTCTAGTTTGCGAATTGCGATAACCGGTTCTCAAGCGTTATTTGTTTTTGATTAAAAAATAATTAAACTGCAAATACCATATAATAATAATAAATATCATCACGCCTTTTATTCCCGAAGAAGTACGCAGAGGTCGACTTTATGGCATTTAATGCCATTGTACAAGGTAACATTCACTTTTCACTATTTTCTTATTAGTATAAGAAAATAGTTAATAAAAATAGTTAATAGTTTGTTTGTTTGTTTGAACACGCTTATCTCTGGAACAACCAGTCGGATTTCAATATTTTTTGATGTGTTGGATAGTCCATTTATCGAGGACGGTAATAGGCTACACAACATCACGCTACGATCAATAGGAGCCAGGCAGAGCAGGTGCAGCCACACGGAAGTATAACAAAATATCGAATTAAATAAAACATAATATTATTATATCAAACACTCTCTCATTGAGATTAAGAGTACGCTCAAGTTGAAGTTGGTGTTAAAACTGTAATGGCCAACTTTATTTAATGTAGTTATTAAATTAAGTAGATAATAAAAATGTGCTGTAATAAAATGTATACTTTGTTTTGTTTGTTATTTCAAAAGTCCTTTTAGGTTAATTCGTAACGATTATAATTCCTAGAGGTGAGTCCCGAGTTTTGGTACTTATATTAAATGACTCGTAAAGTTTAAAAACCTCTGTCTTGACACAACGTGTTCGATCGTGTAATCCGTGTCTGGGTGTCATGTCAACATGTATGTGTGAACTTGTAAGTTTCAAGTAAATGCGCCCAGAGCCGCCCAAAGGGCTTAGAGTTTGGTTTTGGTTGGTTCATTGGAGCCGGCCAGTAAGAGCACCGAACGCGAAAAAAACTCGTACTAAGCTCTCTGATAGGTTGGTTAGTAGACACATCCTATTGTGGGTAAACGTTTTAAAGATAAAAAAGGTTATGGTAAACTGTACAGGGGAAAAATAAAATTATAGTTGGCAACACTGAATTACAGGATGTCAACAATCGAGGTATTTTGCTCCGATTCAATTTCAATTTAGCGGCTAAACTTTATCACACGCATTTGATTGAACTATTACAGTGCTTCTTATCTCTTCGTCATACATATCAAATAATTCTGATTGGTGAACTCTTGTCGAGCGCGCGGCTTTTATTCTGTTTTAAACGTAAGTACAATGAGAATTTAATTGGAAAAATTACCGAACCTACAACTCCTTATTTATTTAATTTAAAATATAATTACTTACAAACTAATTATCTTACTACTCTAGGCATTGTTCGTTATCACAGTTCAATTATTTTGCCCTGGTCCAATGTGGAAACTTGTTTCATTTGTTTTATGTTATAAATCGTAAGTAAAAACTCTGAAAAATATTTATGTGTAGTTTTTGTTGTCACCTAGGCGTTGCAAAGGTGGCCACGTCATACTGGCTAGTTTAGAATGTTATTTGTCGCCATACTATTAGTTCACCTCAATTGTGCCTATAAGGCAAAAATTCAGAATCAATTAAAATCCTACTTCACTTCATATTATTATTATAAATGCGAAAGAAGTTTGTGACGATATATGTGTGTGTTTGTTACTCACTCTTTATTTCATGGCAAAATGGATGAAGGGATAGTGATGAAATTTAGACCAGGGTGCTTACTTAACTCGTTGAGTACCGTCATTATAGACACAATTATAGAACAATAGGTTGCGGTCTCCAGCGACCGCTCGGTATTTGAGAGTTTAATAATTATTCAATGTCTCAATAATTATCAATAATCTCAATAATTATTCAATGTCAAAACTATACAATCCCTACCGTAACTGTTAAAATAGCATTCAGAGTATGGAATAACATAACATAACATAACATAACATCACGCCTTTTATCCCCGAAGGGGTAGGCAGAGGTGCACATAGAAGTAACACCCACTTTTCACTATTCATGTTATGTATGTATGTATGTATGGAATAGCCGAACTGAATACCATTTAGTTCATTCAATATCCAAATAATACAGGTGCAATAGGCGCTACTGTTGCAACTCGAGAGGACATTTCACAATACCAATGTCAATCGATCGGAATTGAATTCAAGAGTAAACCCTAAGATGTATTTTATGGTTTGGAACACATAGGCTACTTTTTATCCCACAGAGATGTAGTTGAAGCTACTGTCAGAAGCTATCATTTATGCACAATATGTATAATAGGTGAAAAGTAAGAGCTCATGATCATAACATAACATCACGCCTTTTATCCTCACATTACAACACTTAATACCACTGTACAATGTAACACCCACTTTTCACTATTTATGTTATGAGTCCCATGTAATAGGGGGTGAGACTATTGCCTTATACCGGGCACAATTCCAAACTGCGTGCTACTACTGAGAATTTTATTCTAAAAAACGAAACGTACATACAGCTAACGGAGAAATTATTCTTTTTTGTAGTCAGTTTAGAATAGTGACTTATGGATTAGGTATTGAAATACAACTGTTTAGACCTTTGACATAGCGCGGAGAACCTAACGGGTTACCGGGGCTCCGGCTCGACGTGCAGGAGAAGGAACAGGGTGGTTTTTAGTCAGTAAGAGTCTGACACTCTCTCCCGCCTCACCTAGGCGGGAGCAGACATTCGATGATCCCCCCTTAAAAAAAGACCTCCTTTGACATATGTTTATTTCGAGTTTCAACCGTGGTATGATTGGGACCTCCCGTAACATCGGGATTGGGGAGATTGGGAAAGAAAATATGTACATACAACGTTGTTTCAAGTCGGTTTTCTGCGAGGCCGTGGTATCACTCCGGTCGAGCCGCCATGCGTGCTGAAGCATGGCTGTCCCACACTAAAAGATTAGTCATATACAAAACTTATTCACTGAAGTGTTTGTACGACAAATGTTTATCTATGCCACTGGTCTTGTTTTACAAGGTATAACAAGATATGGGAGGAGTGTTCTGTTTGAACATTCTAATATCTTGTCATTACTTAGAGTAGTTCACATGTAGTAGGTATCTCTATACAATAGTTTATTACGCTGTTAACTAAATTAATTTAAATATACAGGGTAGAATTTTGTAATGCCACCTAAAGGGGAAGTGCGTTTAATACTTAAGATAGAACATTTTACACAAAGAAAACATTGTTTTATTTTTGAAAACGGCATTCAAAGATTTTTAAAAACTCGCTTGTCGCACACGGTAATCGAACTGACTAAAATCTGTAAAAGTTGCATCCTGTACCTTTATTGCATCGATCGTTAGGGTCAATAAGGATGAAATTTCTTTAAAAAACGTCATATATTGTTTTTTTTATGGCATAAGCCGGTAAACAAGCAGACGGATCACCTGATGGTAAGCAATCATCGTCGCCCATGGACCCCTGGAACACCAGAGGCGTTACAAGTGCGTTACCGGCTTTTTGGAGATTAGGAGTTTGAGGATCGTTGGGGATTCAGGAATTGGAGGAGTAATTGGGCCTCCGGTAACCTCACTAAGTCGACGAAACACAACGCAAGCGTTGCTTCACGTCGGTTTTCTGTGAGGCCGTGGTATCACTCCGGTCGAGCCGACCCATTCGTGCCGAAGCATGGCTCTCCCACACTTGTATGGATCTCCCACACTAGAAAAACTGACATGAAAGAAAACAATGAAATCTTAAATTAGTAATTCAATGGTTGACCCAATGGTTAAAGCACTTAAAGTATTAAGTGTTTCTCCTTCACCTTTAGGTGGCATTACAAATTCCACCCTGCCATATACACTTGGGACCAAACAATCGAAGCCACTAGCGTTTTTTCTTTTGAATTTGTTGATAAATATATTATGACTAGCTGACCCAGCAGACTTTGTACCGCCTAAAATTGCTTTATCAATTTTTCTTGCTTTCAAACCAACTCTGGACTTCCAAAAACATTTCAAGACCAAACTTAGCCTAATCGGTGCAGCCGTTCTTGAGTCTTAGCGAGACTAACGAACAGCAATTCATTTTTATTTATAAGAAGATAGTATTTTATTAATAGGAAACGTATGTCGTATAAAATATAAGTTAGTTACCTCTAAATTGTGAGCATTGTGTTGTAAAAGAAATACTTTTTGCAAAAGTTATAGAAGGTTAGATAAAATAATAAAAAATCGATAATGGTCGCTAAAAAATTTTTTGAACATAGTAGGTACCTCCTTCTTTTTTTAAGTCTTGCCTTGTTAGTTAATAGTCGAGGTTCTATGGCTTTAAGTTATGCCGAACATCAGGGTGCTTACTCTTGAAACCAATCTCAATGTCAATGCAATTTCAATCCAATAAAATCTCAATAATTATTCATGTCAATACTATATTAGCACAATCGTGGCTGTTAAAATGGCATTCAGAGTACGGAATATAAAGCCAAACTCAATACCATTTAGTTCATTCAATAGCCACGCAATACAGATGCAATGGGCGCTAGTGTTGCGACTCAAGAGTACGAAATTTCACAATGTCAATGCCGATCGATCGGAATTAGATTCAAGAGTAAGCCCCCTGGCCTTGGGTTCGCCTCTCGGACCTCGCCTGCAGTTAGGTCTAATTTGGAGGATACTACTACCGAACTACCGAAGGGATTTATTGTAAGAGGGTCCTACAATACCTTCGGTGATTAACAGATTTAATGATATTATTATTCAGTAAAAAAATATTTAGTTTCAGCGTAACGCGCGATGTCAGACGACTACAGTACATTGACCCACGTGTCTCCCGTGCTGACCAACGAGAGGCTCAGCGCGGCGCTCTCCGACTGGTTCAAACGACCATTCACGTTCACACATTGGGAGGTGAGATTTTTTGCATATTTTTTACACATTGGTTGCAAGGTGCAAACTCGCAACTTCTCTGGTGTTGAAGATGGCCATGGCGGTACTGATTGCATACTATTCAAAGCTAAAGCTAGTTTGCGGCCCTTCATCTACATA